CCGACGTCGTTTCCAACGGCAATTCCCCCGTGTCAGTAGACCTAAATTAGGAGCAGTTATAGCTAAACCTTAGGAGTTTCTGACCTGACCGTTTAACCAGGTTCAAAATACTTATATCAAAATTAAACTAGCAGGCAGACCTTTTATGCAGAGTTGGTAAGCTTACTTCTATGGTAGTTTGTCTGACTATAACAAAGTTTTTCTACCTTCCGAATTTTGATCACTATGAAACTTTCAGGGGTTCTTGGGTACGCCCCAGAGGAATTATAAAACTCCTTATTTTATTACATTTCTCATTTTCACAAAGTTCTAAACTTCGAGTTTCGAATCAAATGTTTTAAATGAAATTACTATCATGATTTTGCGGAGTTTAACAATCATTTGGTTTTCCATTTTGTTACTACCAGCGAATGGTGCACACGCACGCCGTCCCCGAGAAGAAAACTAAATAAGTAGCGTGCTTGCTATGGGTAGCTTTGCTAGAAATAATGAACAGAAGCTGCAACTTAATAGAATCAGTCCAGCATATCATTTGCTGCTTAAGTAATGAATTAAAATGTAGTAGAATACGCTCAAAATATAATCCAGATTCTGTTTGTATTTTAACAATCCACAAAATAATATATCTAAGATGTGTATTTTTACGCTATAGCACACCTTATATTTTTTAACATAGTATGATGTCTACTAACTACAAGTTCTAGACAAAGTACATAGTTTTGTATGTTTTTTTACACTTGGCCAAATCTATAATTCATCAAGCTGGTCTTAATTAGTTTCTAGCATTTTGGTTATATGTGGAGATAGAGAAGTCGAAAACTCTGGTTTCCCTTTTATGTTGATGGAGCTTGCTTGGCATCGTGGCATTCTGGGAAGATCTAGTGTGCCTTGGGATCGTAATAGTTCGAAGAAAATCTAGTTTTTTCTTTGTTGTTAAGAGCAAAGCTAACAACTATCTGCGCACTTCCAACTTCAAGGATTGAACCCCGAATTTTAGCGTTATAAGCCCTCAAGCTTACTATCAGAGGTGGGCTTCTTTGTTAGAATAACTGTTTGATACTTTCGTGAAGCCCATCATTTAGACCACTCCAGCTAGGCCCCCAGTGGCACAGCGGTATGTCTGCAGACTTACAATGCTAGAAACCGGGTTTTGATACCCGTGGTGAGCAGAGCACAGATAGCCCATTGTGTAGCTATGTGCTTAACTTCAAACAGTACAAAACTCCAACTAGCTAACAGAGTAGTCCACCGCAAAGAAAGATAAAGTGTTTTTATATGCCATTGTTCAAGCTTTAATTGTGACTTTTGAATTCGTCTGCTATTTTGTAATGAAAGTGTTTCAGGTTCTTTGTAAATCATTTGTGCTCATTCTTTATTATTTCTAGTCGAACTGGGCTGATTTTATACTTCACATGTTCGTATCTTTCGTTCTATGGTATTACTAACTGCTTGGTTCAAGTACATCTGAAAACATCATAAAGTCTGTACAACGTAGCTTCTTCTAAATGCGTTTAGAAAGAAAACAAACGATCTGTGAATAAACAGGATCTTTCCTTTGAGATTGTATGTGTATACAATGAAAGCAGCTTTAGTTCAAATTAACTCGGGATTAGATATAATATCAGTTTATGACTTGAGTTGAATGAATTCATGCTGCCGAGATAACGAGATTGTAATCTATTGTAACATCGGGTAATCGGAGTATTTAACCGTTTTTCTCTCCCTTTGTACAGACAACAGATTGTTTTGATTAGATAATGTTACTATCTGTCCTACAATTGAACATTGAGATAATCGTGTTACTGAGGAGGACCTGCAATTTATAGGGTTAAAAATTCACATATTAAAGAGGTGGTATCTTTCTCTCTCTCTCTCTCTCTCTATATATATATATATATATATATGTATATATATATACATACATATATATCATATAGAATTGTAGGCAAAATAGCTTGTCTGACTTATCTATACAAAGTTCTTATTTATATTGTTGTTTATTCACATACAACGATACAATAAGAACAATAACAAAAAAGGTGCAAATAAGATTCAATTAACACAATTCATTA